CCTCTGGGTCTCAACAATTCACCCCCGGCCCAGCCTACCTCCTTTGCCCCTTTTCCAGCTCTAGGAGCTCTTCCAAGGGGCCCTGCCCTCCCCCGCCTTCCTGTTTCCAGGGGAACTCCATTTTCTCCTCCGGCAGAGATCAATCTCCAGGGAATTCCCCTCTACTGACGCTTCTTCGAGTGCCATTTTAAAAGTGGCGTTGTCATCTTCCCTAATGGGCGTTTTCCTTGGAGTCCAGTGCTAGCGGGGTGGGGAGGGAGACTACATAAAGGAATGCTGGCTCCTTCTGGGCCTGGGTTCCTCTAAAATCCCACCAGAAGGGTTTCTTGAGGAGTTTGGGGAGGAAGGCACGGCATTGAGGAAGCCGTGAATCAGTGTCTTACGGAGGGGTTCTGTAAAACCTGGTATTTACCTGGAATTTCCTGCAAGAAAGCCATTAGGAAGATATTGTCCTTTGGTCTGAAGATAGCAGGTATTAAGTGTTAGAAAGAGCAGGAGAGAACGCTGAACTCTTTCGGAGCAGGAGCACAGGTTACCTGCGTTATGGAATTTCAGGGCGTGGGACAGGAACCCCGACTTGTTCAATCTGGTATCCTCCCCTTTGTCTCCTATACTTGTGAGCCTTCTCTGAATGCTGTAATTAAAGCTCCTCCTCATTTGGTTTTCATAGCTTAATGTTTCCTTGAAGTTAAAGGAAGTAACAGTGTAACCTTTAGCGTCAGACATACCTGGATTTAGATGCCAACTCTGCCTACCTGTGTGACCTTGAGCAAGTAACGCAACCTCTCTGATTCTCAGCTTCCTAACTTTGTAAAATGGAAACTCATTCATGGGATTTCTGCGAGAATTGAATGAGACAACCTTTAACGAGCCACTTGATCTATCAGATAGTCAATAGGGGATCAGTATATGTTCTCTTTCTTTCTTCCTCCTGCTGTATTTTCATTCATTAGTGGTTCTCAACTCCATCTGCACGTTAGAATCTCCTAAGGAACTTAAAAAAGCGCAGTTGTTCAAGCCCCACCGCTGAGATTTGGATTTAATTGGTCTGCGGTGGGGCTTGAGCATGAGTATTTTTAAAAAGCACCTGTTTAAGGATATATGTTTTTTTAAAAATGTAAAACCATGCCTCCCATACAAATACAAAATGAGCACACGACAGAGATTTATTTAGCTTGTTAATTAATGAAGAAACCAGTAAGATGTTACTAGTTCAAGTCATTCAAGCAACACACACATATGGGCAGTCAGGAATGAATGAATTTACAATTAGGTGCAAAATTGATCAATATCCACAGGGTAACCACCACTTGCATCCCACTGTATAAAATTATTTGCATGCAAGGTCTTCAATATGTGCATAGAAAATATACATATTATGAAAACATTTTTGTCCTAAAATAAATGAGTATTTTAATTCCACTTTTCCATGAACTTCTAAAAGTCCCCTTGTGTCTATCCGTTTAATTGCCAGAGGGCATGTGCACTTGCCAGGGAGAGAGAGAGAGAGAGTGCAACCCCCCAGCAGGATGTGGGCACACTGCAACCTCTTTTTTCCTCCATTTCTCCATCCCGTCAGGATTTGGGGCATGCACACACACCTGGTGTTTTTCAAGCCACTGGCACCAGGACTCAAACCACAGTAGGCCAAGTGGGCTCCAGCTCTCAATGCCAACACTCAACCACTGTACTATGGGGCTGGCCCCACCCATATTTCTGTGTACAAGAATCGTTTGCCTTACTCTACGCTTTGTACATTTCACGGGATTGTAAAGGAGCTCAAAGATAACGAGAGGTGCCTATGACATCATATGCCTTGACTGATAGGTCAAAGAGGACACCTGGGAATCTGCTTTTTAGTCCATTTCAATGTCATTCCTATTGCCCCTGGGATTCTAATGTGTCGTCGGGGGTAAAGACCCTGCCTTAGACATTTTTTTTTTAATAATTATTTTATTTATTTATTTTAATTTGAACAGAGGGGGACAGAGTGAGAGAGAAAAAGAGAAAGAGAGAGCAAGAGAAAAGTGAGAAAGCAAGCCACCAGGTCCAGGACTCAAACCACAGTCGGCCATGTGGGAGATCAGCACCCTTAACCACCACGCCGCCTGCCGGCCTCCCCATAGCCCTGTGATCACACTATAATGCAGTTACATACGAGCTGCCCCACCTGTGATAGGGCTTCTTTTAAGTACAGGCTGGCCTCATGTTCTATGTGCTTCCGTAGCATAGCACCAAGCACACTGCCTGGCCTACAGTAAGTGTTTAAAAACTGTTGAATTAGGGAACCAGCAGTTAACGTAATGGCTATGTCGCTGGACTCCCACGTAGTCGACCGCGGTTCGTGTCCTGGACCCGGTGGCTTAAAAAACTCACGCCGGGTGCATGTGCGTGCGTGCCCAAGATCCCAAGAGGAGAATGGAGGAGAAGGGATTGCGGTGTGACCATCCCCCCTGGGGGGTGATTTCTCGCTTTCTGTCTCTATGTCTCTCTCTGTCTGACTGGCGAGCGCACGGGCCCTCCAGTGAAAATCTCTCCAAAAAAAAAAAAACTGTTGAATTAGTGTTCTGGTCAATTCCATTGCTAATAATAGAAAATATTTGAGTCTGGGTAACTTAAAAGAATAGAAGCTTATTCAGTCCATGGGTTGGAGCTCTAAGGTCCAGGGGCCACATCTGCTAAGGATTTTGCTTTTGGGGACTGCAAGGCCACACACAGTGTGTCATGCTGTACGAGGACAGGAGCACACTTCTCCACGTTCATTTCTGTCTCTCTCACTCTCTCTCCTTATAACCCTAGCAGGAGTTCATCATGGGGGGCCTCGCCCAAAGGACCTCAACCCTAATTTCTTCCCAGAGCTCTCCCCTTGCAATACTAGAGTCTGATCAAAGTTTTACCCTCTTAATCCCATCACGGCAAAATTGCAATACACAAATGCAGGGGTGGGGGTGGGGAGTGTTCAAAACGCAAACACGTAAGAGTAGTAGAACTGAGCCAGGGGATACGCCTCGGACAGGTAGCGTTATTTCCCTTCTTCCCATGAGGAAATGGGAACCTTCCAAGGACCTCAGAGCTCAGTGGACCACAGACTAGCCCAGTGCCCAGTAGTCTCGAAGTGGGGTTGTGGGGCCACAGCGTCACCATCCCCTGGGGACTTTTGTTTTTTCTTTTTGCTCTGTGGTGTGTGCGTTCACTGGAGAGAGATGAGGGGAGGAAAGTAGAGAGAAAACACCTGGCAAGGGAGGGATGGCCGTGCCATAATCCCTTCTCCTTCACTCTCCTCTTGGGATTTTGGGCATGCGTGTTCATGCAGCTGGCGTGTTCTTTAAGCCACCAGGTCTGGAACTTGAACTGTGCAGTCAGCCACATGAAATGCAGCAGCCTTAACCACCATAATCCTGGCTGGCCCACCTGGAGACTTGTAAAATACAGATTCACAGGCCCTACTCTAGACTTCCTGAACAGACACCCCTGGGGATGAAGGCCTACAATCTGTATTCTGACAAGTCTTCTAGGTGATTCTGGTGCCCAGAATGGGGGAGTGGCTTAACTGAAGTGATTAGAGAGTTTAATGAGACTCAACTGGTGAATGCATATTGCAAAATTCTAGCATATTTGCTGCAAGGGAAACCAAGAAAATTAAGTCTTTGTGGGGCCAGCAGGTGGCACGGTGGTTAAGGCACTGGACTCCCGCATGGCTGACCTTGGTTCCAGTGCTGGACTGGTGGCTTGCTTTTGCAATTTCCCTCTTTGTCTCTCTCTAGTGACGATAGCAAATTTAATAATAATAATAACAACAACAAATAAAATTAAATAGATTTTTTTTAAGAAAAAGGAAAATTGAGATATTTGTATTAGTTTATTGCTGAGTAACAAATTACCCAGAACATAGTGGTTGAATTGGCCAGGGCAGGAATCTGGCTGTACCTTGCCAGATCCTCTGGTTCAGGGTCCCTCACAAGGCTGCACCGAAGGAGTGGAGCAGAGCCTCAACCCTCTCATGGTCTCACTGGGCAAGACTGGCCTCCAAGCTTACTCAGTGGTTGCTGGCGAGGGTCCATTTCTTGCAGGCAGGTGAGCTAGCAGCTGCCATCCTGGCTGGGAGGGCACCCAAGTTGGAAGTTATTTCAGACATAATTCAGAAGCCGCATCCTATGAGTCGTGTGATAATCCATTCATTGGAAGCGTGCCAGCTGGTGGTTAGGGAAACGATCCCCCATGGCTGAGCGTGCAGATCGCGTCCAAGTTCCAGCAGCTTGAAGAACACACTGGGCATGTGTGCATGTCCAAAATCCCAAAAGGAGGGGGAACTGCAGGAGAAGGAGTTGCGGCATGATCACATCCCATTAGGGAGTACTTTCTCTCTCTCCCTCTCTCTCTGGTGAGTGCATGTGCCCACTGGCAAGTTTTTTATAAAAAGGAGAGAGGGAGCAGAAGAGGAAGAACAAGAAGGTCACCAGGAGCAGGCCACATTCAAGAGAGGTGATGACACAGGGCGTGAGTACCAGCAGGGAGGTCTTTGGGAAGTTGCCTCCTACGGTCCCTGTCTCTGCCCTTGTGCTCACAATCGGGGCATCAACTAAGAACACACTTAATTTTGGAATCAGTCAGAGAGGAACGATGGCTGTGAGGGTGGACACAGTCCAGCAGACTCTCTGGCTGGAGGAATCAGGAAGGTTCCCTGGCGGAGGCGGCATTAACAGTAGGCCTCGAAGGAATGGAGGACATGCTGCTAGCAGAGAAGGGGAGGCCAGGTAAAGGACGCAGCTTAGGCAAAGGGAAGGGCCTGCAAAGGTATCCAAACCACCCAGCTGGAAAGGGAGAGCGAAACTGACCTGGAGACGGGCCACACTGCGGAGGGGCTAACCGCTAGATGGAGGCGCTCCCCCCGAATGGGAAAGGCGAGGCTCCGTAACTGGAGTAGGACGGAGGCTCCAAGCCCAGTGCTCCCCGGCCCCACCAGCCTGGCCCCAAGATCCACACCCCGTCTTCTCTTCCAGTTCGGGCGCACCGAGGTCATCGACAACACACTCAACCCTGACTTTGTGCGCAAGTTCATTGTGGACTACTTCTTCGAGGAGAAGCAGAATCTCCGTTTTGACCTGTAAGTGGAGGGAGGTGTTGAGGCTGGAGCTGGGGGTCGGGGAGCCGGTGTTGCAGGGAGGGTGGTAGCACCTGCAGTGGCGGGAAGCCCGGGGTTGGCCTGGGAGAACAGTGGCAATTAGTTGAAGCCCGTGCACTCCCTCACCGGTACATGGAAAGGGGTGGGGGGGACAGAACAAAGGATCCCCCCACACCCCTAGTTTGTCTTCCTTGAGTGGGGGAGGCCATTGGCAAAGCTCCTTCCTTGGTCCTGGAGAATGTCCAATGGGGGGAGATCTTGGAGGCAACGTTTGGCTCCACCTCTGGAGAGCCCTTTCCTCCCAGAAACCAGGAGGTGCCCGCTGACCCCTTCCTCTGTCAACACATGTTCTGGGAGAGTCCCCTCCAGCCTCGCCCTCCAGCCTCTCCCTCCAGCAGGGTGAGCTGGCCGATGGGGCTCACGGCATCTGCACCTTCGTGAGGATGGAGAGGGCCCTCTCCTGACATGAAAGGTCAGGGCGGGAGCTCAGTCTTGGTGGGCAGGCAGGGGACTTTATGGAGCATGTGGTGATAGAGCTGTGTCCCAGAGAACAGGGACAGAGTAGGAAAGAAGGGGAGTGGAGTCTGAAAGAGCAAAGGGAAAAAATGAAGTGGAAAGAAATGACTTCAGAGGGGATGATGGAGGAATTGAGACCAAGGAGGGTCAAACAGCCCATTTAGAGAAGTCTTCTGGTGACATTCTGGGGAGAGGACTACTCGGGGCAGCCTCCAGGTGAGAGAAGCCGAGAAGCTCTCATCGGGAGGCCCCTGGGCCCAGGGGGCTGTTATGACTGCAGAGATGTCCTGTGCGGGAGGGAGGTGCTAGAGGCATGTTGCAGGAGAGACTGCAGGGGAGGCTGCAGGGGAGCAGGCTCCAGGTGAGGGGGGAGCCGACCTGTAGGGTGGAGGTGTTAGCGAGCTCTCCTTCTTGCATGACTAGGCCCAGGGCCGGCTGGGCAGGGCTGGGGAGGGGAAGAGAGAACGGAAGATCCAGGGTGAGGTACCACGCTCCACAGGCAGTTAGATGGGCAGAGACACTTTGTCTCTGAGGATGGGGAGGAGGAGCGAAGGGGAAGGTGGTTTACCACAGGTGGACCAGCTGGGTGACAGAGCTCATGGATTGTACATTTTCGATTTGTTTTTATTTTTTGTTTTTGTTTTTTTGCTATAGGGCTCACGCATTCACTGGAGAGACAGAGAGACAGAAAGCACAAAATCACTCCCCAGGGGGGATGGCCACACCGCAATCCCTTTTCCTCCAGTCTCCTCTCAGGATTTTGTGCATACACACACACACACACACACACACACACACGTGCCGGCATGAGTTTCAAGTCACCAGGTCCAGGACTTGAACTGTGGTCGACCATGTGCAGGTCCAGCACCTTAACCACTGTGCCACCTGCTGGCCCCACGTTTTCAACTCTATGAGGTATAACGTATATGCAGTGGCGTGCTCAAATCCCAACAGTCTGCTCCATGGTGCACTTTTACATCTGTATCCACTGCCCAGATCAAGAGGCAGGAATGTCTAGTCCCCGAAGGGTCCCCTTTCATGCCTTCCAGCTGTTACCTAGAAAATCCATGGTGTCGGAGATGGTTTGGGGGATGGCAGGGGCCTGACTCAACTCAAGGGCCCAGGCAGGGTTGGGCAGGACACCGCGGCTGCCTTCACCATCTCTCTGTGTTCCCTGCAGATACGACGTTGACTCCAAGAGCCCCGATCTGTCTAAACATGTGAGTTCTGCCAGTGACAGCCCAGTGATTCGTTTCTTAAACACCACACTCGGGGCCAGCCTCGGGCTTCACTGTGACAGAGAGTGTGTCTGATGCTGCACCCTGTCATTGCAGAGCCCTCACACTTCCAGGGGTGACAGGGAGGTGGGGGAGCTGTGAACAGAGTGGGTGACACTCTTTTTCTGTCCTCTGGACATGCAGGATTTCCTGGGTCAGGCCTTCTGTACGCTTGGAGAGATCGTGGGGTCCCCTGCGAGCCGCCTGGAGAAGTCCCTCACGTAAGTGTGGAGCAGCTGCAGCCTGGGCTGCGTCCCCAGTGTTGGTTCAGCCCTGCCCACTCTGCCAGGGCTGGCTCGGGGTGTCAGCCAGTCCTGATGGGTATTTGCAGGGTAATTAGGAATCAGGAGACCCCCTTGGGCCCAGCCCCTGCAAAGCTTCTCAGTCAGTTACCTTGGAGGGACTCGGTGGGTTTTTAGAACCTGTACTCCGGCAAAGGCCTGACACCATCTAGTCCGTTCCCCTACTGCTCGGTGAGGGAAGGAACTGAAGCCCAGAGAAGGAAGTGACATGCCCAAGGTCACGTACTAGGAAGTAGGAGGTGGGAACCCAGGGCTCTACTCCATAGTGTATTCCTCAGCGTGCTCACAGCTTGTTGTAGGCCGGGAAGGGTTCAGTGAGGCCCTCCTCATCCCACCTGCCCTGACAGTGCACCGTAGGCCCTTAGGCTGCTTCCAGGGGAAAGCTGTTCTTCTGGCAGGCTCGAGGATGAGGAATCCCTAGGCTTCTCAGCGTAGGGTGAGGGTGGCTCCCGGGACCTGCTTGTGGGCTTGCCCCCCTTTGTCTGTCCTTCTTGGGAAGCCCTAGGGTAGAGTCCAGGCAGTAGAGGTCTGCAGGCTAGGACAAGCGTCCAGGCCACAGAGCAGGGCAGATAGGAAAGGGGGATCAGGCTGGGCTGGCATCAGCTCCCAGCTGGCCTGCCAAGCTCCCACTGGACACTCCCCCCTCCGTGTGGGGGCCGGCAGGTGGCGTGGTGGTTAAGGGGGCTGGACTCCCACATGATTGACCGTGGTTCGAGACCCAGAGCTGGCAGATTGCTTTCTCACTTTCTCTCTCTCTCATTCTCTTACTCTATCCATCTCTGATCAAGTTTAAATAAACAAATAGCTCAATACAATAATTCTAAAAAAATAAGTAAATAACTACAATGTGTGTGCGTGTGCACATGGACACGCATATCTGCAGATTGTCTCCTAGGCCCTTGTCTGTGAGCTCCTGTAGCTAAATGATAACCTCAGGGTTCCAGAAAGGTCTTCCTGCCCCGCAAAAGGCCTCATCTCTGGGTTCTCAAAAAATAATGATAATACAGGGGGAAAGCTCACATTTGGGAGGCTCTTTTTATTAAAAAGTATCATTTTATTTATTTGCTTTAACTTGACTAGAGAGGGACAGAGAGAAGGTGAGGAAGCAAGCTGCCAGGTCTGAGACTTGAACCGTGGTCAGCCATGTGGGAGTCCAGCACCCTTAGCCACCACGCTACCTGCTAGCCCCGAGGCTCTTAAGCTTATAGAAAATGGGGGTCTCTGCCAAAAAATGTACACAGTTCACACTCACACTTGATAGCCCTCCTGTCCCCTTGGACAAATCCTTCACCATTTTTATATGTAATTTTATATTTTTTCCCTACTTTAGGCGGGGCTCATAAGAGAGAGTGCGGGACTCAGGGACGCCTGCCCCATTTGCCTGTTTTCATGTTAACCGTGTGCCCAGTGTTGCATGTCTGTTAGCATCTGACCTTTAGTTTTGGGGGGGTGTATTTTGCTATAGGGCGCAGGTGCTCAGATACACACAGAAAGAGAGAGAGAGAGACAGAAAGCAAGAAATCACTCCTCAGGGGGGATGGCCATGCCACCATCCCTTCTCCTTCTGTCTCCTCTCAGGATCTTGGGCACCCCCACACACGTGCCCAGCATGAGTTTCGAGCTGCCAGGTCCGGGACTGGAACCGTGGTTGGCCATGTGGGGGTCCAGCAACATAACCATAGTCCCATCAGCTGTCCCAACATCTGATCTTTACAGCAGCCCCCTCAGTCCCACCCGCCTCCCTGGCCCCACCTGAATTGGGTTCGGAGACGCCCAGGAGCGAGCGTCTGTACTCAGCGCCCAGTGGCCCTGCTGCCCAGGGGCCCAGGCCAGAAGCCCACCAGTCTTATGGGTCAGTTTCCTGGTCCACAGGTGGTGGAGGGGCACATGTTTGGGGGGGGGGTGGCGATGGGAAAGACTTCCTTTAGGACAGCAGTCCCCAATGTTTTTGGCACCAGGGACCGATTTCATGGAAGACGATTTTCCCACAGACTTGGGGCCGCGAGGGGCGGGGTTTCGGGATGATTCAGGCCGTTCCATTCATTGTGCGCTTTATTTCTATTATTATTACATTGTGCTCTATAATGAAATCATTCTACAACTCACCCTAATGCAGAGTCAGTGGGAGTCCTGAGCCTGTTTTCCTGCAGCTAGACGGTCCCACCCGGGGGTCCTGTGAGAATCTGCCGCTGCTGCAGATCTGACAAGAGTGGAGCTCAGAGGAGCCCTGGGCAGTAGATACAGATGAAGGTTGGCCCCCCCCCCGCCACTGGCCTCTTGCTGTACTGTCTGGTTCCTAACAGGGCACAGTATGTGGCCTGGGGGCTCAGGACCCCTGTTCTAGGAGATGGGGTGCAAAAGGAGCCCCGCAAGATCTAAAATACAGAGGTGGATGGAGACGTCTGGGGGAGAGCTGGACCTGGGCCTTCGTGTGCCTAAGTTTAGTTATCTTCCCGACGAAACCCTGTGCCTAGATCCTGTGTACCGGGCATCTATTCTGGGCCAGACATGAGGGTCAGTGCTTTGCTTATGAAATCTGTGTCCGTGTGCTAGGAATGCTGTAGCGCAGACCACAGGCTGAGTGGCTTAAATGACAGAAATTCATTTCTCTGCATTCGGGGGCTGCAAGTCTGCGAGCAGGATGTGGACAGGGTTGGTTTCTGCTGAGGCCTCTCTCCTTAGCTCGTGGGTGGCCATCTTCTCCCTGCGTCGTCAGAGTCATCCCCCACGTGTGTCTGTGTTCCCAAGTTCTCTTCTTATAAGGACAAAAGTTGTATTAGATGCAAGCCCAGCTTTGTGACCTCAGTTTACCCTGACTGCCTCTTTAAAGCCCTGTCTCCAGACGCAACCCCAGCTGAGGTGCTAGAGGTAGGGGGTGGGGGCACAGTGCAGCCCACAGCATGACCTGGGTGATTCTTTCAGCAACCCCCCCCCCATTTTGCAACCCAGAAGCTCAGGCTTAAAGAGGTAGAGTGGTGTCCCCATCCCTGGAGGTGTTAAAGCACAGATTCCTGGGATGACCCCAGTGTCTGACCCAGCAGGGACAGGATGAGGCCTGAAACTTCACATTTCTGACCCATCCCCAGGGGATGCTGATGCTGCTGGTTGGGACCCCTGCTTTGAGACCCTCCATGGTATAAAAACTTGCTCAGGTCTTCCCCCAACAAGGTGTAAGAAGACCCCTCCTCCGCCAGGCCTGTGGCTTTTGGTCCTGAGTTAATGACCTCCAAACGGAAACCTGTCTCTAAGCATCGGCATGCCAAGGGCTCTGGCCTCTCAGGACAGGGGTCCTTGGCTCACAGCAGACTTCTCGCTCTCTCTCTCTCTCTACAGGATAGGTGCGTTCAGCCTGAATTCCAGGACGGGCAAGCCCATGCCAGCTGTGTCCAACGGGTAGGTCAGCAGACAGCTCTGCCCTGAGGTCCTCGGACCTCCAGCTTGCTGTGCCAGGGACCTCAGGGTCGGTGCCCAGGCCCTGCTCCTGTCAGTGAATTCAGCCCTTGTCCGAGGACAGAGATGGTCCTGGGTCCCTCCTCAGGCACTTCGGGTCCTGATAGAAGCCCCCACTCTGCAGTGGGCCCCTCCCCTCCCCAGGCTAGAGGTTGAGCATCGGGAGCCCCAGTGGCTTGTGGGACTTCAGGGAGCAGGGAGAGGCTTAGAGGTAGGGGTCGTGTCCAGGACTGGCAGGCGGGGCTCTCTCCATTCTCTTCCCTTCTCCCTAGTCTGGTCCCCCCACCCCCTCCGTCCCTTTTTCTGTCCCTTCTCTTTATCCCCTCACCCTTCCTCCCCCTCATCGTTTCTGCCTCTGGACAGCAGCCTCCTACCCACCACAGAGCAGGCTCAGCTGAATCCCAACTGTGGCAGGCTTGCCGGCTGTGGTGGGTACCTCGAACCCCGGCCAGCTGCTTTGGGCTGACCGCCTGCAAATGTGGGCACCAGAGACCCTGCCCGCCCCTTTTCTCTCCCTCTCTCTTGGTTCGAGTCCCCACCTCAGCTTCTTTCTCCTGCTGGCCCTGGGACAGGGCAGGAGGCTTCTGCTTAGAGGACCCGCTCGCTCTGGCAGAAGGACATTTGGGCGGGGTGAGCAGACTCCCCCAAGGGCTCCCAGACCTTGCTTTTGCAGCAGCTGATTGGCTGCCAGACCAGCCACATGTGAGGAAGGGGCCTTCAGAGGACCAGGGTTGCCCATGGCCTAGAAAGAGAGTGGAGGCTCCTTTGCAAGGGGAGTCAGTAAGTAGCATCTGGAAAGGGAGCAGAAGTCAGAGACAGAGACAGGGAGAGAGAAGAGCCAGAGGGAGCGGAGAGGGCTGAAGGAAGGCCAAGCAGGTGGGGGCAGGTTGGGGCTGGAGAGGAGGGGAAGAAGATCGGAAATAGAAGGAGGACTCAGCCGCAAGAGAGGAACAGATGGAGGAACGCGGGGCGGAGGAGGCTGGCGTGGAGGATTCCAGCTCCCGAGGCAAACAAATCATGTCTTTACTACCACGGAGGACCAGACCAGGGGGCGGAGCAGGGCTTTGGGACACTCGGCCCAGCTGCCCGAGTCTGGGCGGACAAACTGGCCTGTGTGTGCCACCTGCCTGTGGCAGGGGAGGCTGCCGTGGCCCTTGGTCTGCTTGCTGATGAGGATCTGGGCCGCCCGGCAGCCCCTCCATGCCCCTGCCCTTCTCCCCACCTCCTCCGTTCGAGAGCCTCTCCCTCCTCCCTCCATAGCGAGCGCTGGGAGGTGCTCCCTCAGTGGTTCTCAAAGTGTGTTCCACAGACAGTGTGCCCGTGGCCCTGGGCCCGGCCTGAGGTGGGTCAGCTCTGCACAGCTGTGAAGCCAAGGGTGCAGGGAGGGGGAAGGTGCTTGCTGAGGACCCTGTCTGTGCTGGACACTGTGCAGGCATAACTCGCTTAGTGACATGGATACAGGATTGCACTCATTTTATGGGTGAGGAAACAGGCCCAGAGAGGTACAGGAATGAGCCCAAAGTCACACAGCTGCCGGGTGACCTGCATGGTCCTCTCCTTCCCAGTGGCCACTCACTACACTGGTACCCCATCCCCAACTAGAGGGGTCCCACCTGACCGGGGGAAGAGGTGGCACAGGTCCCCTGAGAGGAGCCCCACCCTGGGAACTTGCCCTCCTGGAGAGGGCCCTCTGTCATGGACTGACCTCATGGGCTTTGTTCTGGCTGCCCACCTCACCGAGGATGGCACAGTTGGCTGGAACCTCTCACCCCCGGGAGACCCCGGCCAAGGGATTCAAGGGGAGGCAGCCATGGGAGGGTACCCGCGAGAGCTGCCCCTGGGAACACACCCCCCAACTGCCTAGCTTCCTCCCCCACTCCTGTCCCCACCCCGCTGATCAGAGTGAGCCAGGCTGGACTGTTCCGGGACTCTGGGGGTCAGCTGGGCGCAGGGAGGAGGGGTGGCTAGCCCACGAGGTCTTTTGCCCACAGAAGTGGTCTTTGGATGGAAAGTTTGAGAACCACTGGTCTGGAAGCCTCCGGGTGAGTCTGGATGCTTTTCCGATTCTAGGACTTTCACCACAGACACTGCCCTTCCTGGTGGGCTCTTGGGGAGCAGGGGGTGGGACAGCTCCAGGCCTCAGGGCCTGGGCCCAGGAAGCAGTGCACATGGCCACACTGCCACAAGGATTTCAGGAGACTCTGTCTTCTCAGGGGTTTGGGTAGGTTTGCTTGAAGGTGGTGGGTGGGGAGCTGGTTCAGGGAGCGCAAAGCTTTGTGTCTCTGTCTTTGTCTGGCTTGCCATTCTCTCATCTTCTCCTCTCCCAGCGGTGTCCCAGGGAAGAAATGTGGCACCATCATCCTGTCCGCCGAGGAGCTCAGCAACTGTAGGGTGAGTGGCAGAGGAACTCCAGGACAGGACGGGGTTGGGGGGGGGTGATGGGGTGTCGCTTGATGGAGGGCCGGCTGGCACCCTGAGACCCAGGACCCTGTGTGTCCCTGCAGAGAACCAAGGATACATAGGGCTTCTGAAACTCTGCTGCTGTGGAATTCTGTAACACTGAAGGTTGAGGGCCAGCCAGATGGCATGGTGGTTAAGGTGGCTGGATTCACATGGCCTAGTGCAGGGTTTGAATCCTGGGCCCTGCAGCATGATAACCATGCCAGCACATGTGCGTGCATACCCCAAATCCTGAGAGGACAGTGGGGGAGAGGGATTGTGCTGTGGTCATCCACCTTCGGGTGCTTTCTTGTTCTCTCTCTCTCAGTGAGTCCACTTCCCTCTAGCAAATCAAACAAAACATTGGTGCTAGAAGGCAGGCATCTTCTCTTCTCTTTTTTCTTTTTTTGTGGAGAGGTTTTTGTTATAGGACGCATGTGCTTGCCAGAAAGACAGAGACAGAGAGACAGAAAGTGAGAAATCTCCCCCCCCCCCCGGGGGGGGATGGCCACACCACAATCCCTTCTCCTCTATTCTCCTTTCGGGATCTTGGGCACACACGTACACTCGCCTGGCTTAAGTTTAAGCCACTGGATCTGGGACTCGAACTGCGGTCAACTACATGGGAGTCCAGTGGTGTAGCCATTATGCCAACTGCTGGTCCCAGCATCTTCCCTTCTTATAGCTGCCCAGACTGAGGCCAGGAAGGGGAGGGAGCGCACCCACCGTCAGTGGCAGAGCAGAGCTGGGAGCTCCTTCCACACCTCATCACAGCCACACGCACAGACCCTGGAGCCAAGACTGCCTTGGCACCCACGTGGCAGCACAGGGGCCTTTTCCGTCTTGAAAGACGCCTGGATGCTTGACATTTAGCTGTCATTTTTCACTTTTATCTCTGGAGTAGGGTGACAGCCTGTGTGGGACTGAAGGAGGGAGTGACGGTGACCCTGTTGGGAAGCAGAGGCAATCCCAGGCAGCCATAGTGTTGCTGCTTCTGCAGGACTGGAGATGCAAGAGATGGGGACAGCTGACGGGGTGACCGAGCACACCCGGGAGGGGCTCAGGGGACCCGATGGCCAGTAAGGGTGATACAGCACTGTAATGATGATGGTCGGTATTTGTCGAGTGACGAGCATTTCATGTAAATTGACTACTCCTGACAAGAACCCTAAGAGGGAGACCAGCAGTTAGCTTAATGGCTATGTCACTGGACTCCCACGTAGTCGACCGTGGTTTGAGTCCCGGACCCGGTGGCTTAAAACTCATGCCGGGCACGTGTGCGTGCGTGCCCAAGATCCCAAGAGGAGAATGGAGGAGAAGGGATTGCGGCGTGGCCATCCCCCCTGGGGGGTGATTTCTCGCTTTCTGTCTCTCTGTCTCTCTCTGTCTGTCTGGCAAGCACACGCACCCTATAGTAAAAACCTCTCAAAAACAAAACAAATCCATTTTTTAGATATTTAATATTTTTAAAGAATTATTTTATTTAACTTTATTTATTTTAATTTGACCAGAGAGGGACAGAGAACGGGAGAGAGAGGAAGTGAGAAAGCATGGTCTGGGACTCGAACTGCAGTTGGCCATATGGGAGTCCAGCACCCTTAACCACCACTTCACCCACCAGCCCCATAAAACACATTTTTAAATTTTATGTATTAATTCATTTAAAAGTAACAATGATTGAATCCATTATGGGTAAACATAAAGAACAAAATTTTTTTTAATTAATTTTTTTTTTGAGAGAGATTTTTGCTATAGGATACATGTACTTTCCAGAGACACAGAAAGCAAGAAATCACCTTCCTCCCCCAGGCAGATGGCCACGCCGCAATCCCTTCTCCTCCATTCTCCTCTTGGGATCTTGGGCACGCACACACATTATCCCAGCATGAGTTTGAGCTACTGGGTCCAGGATTTGAACTGTGGCTGATTATGTGGGAGTCCAGTGACATCACCATTACGCCATCTGCTGGTCCCAAAGGAGAATTTTTTTTTTTAAGTAGCTATATGTTGGGACCAGCCCCATGGCCTGGTGGTTGGGGGAGCCAGATCCCACATGGCTGACGACACAGTTCAAATCCCTGCTCCAGCAGCTTGGAAAACATACTGGGTGCATGTGCTTCCTAAAATCCTAAAAGGAGGGCCAGATGGAGGAGAAGGGATTGCAGAGTGACTATTCCCATGGAGAATAGTCTCTGTCTCTCTCTGGTGAGCATATGTGCCCTCTGGCAAATGAAACAAAAACCGTATTTCCAAAACAAATCATGTTCTGAGAAAGGTGGCCTTGTTTGACATTTTTGAAAACCTCTCTAATGTCTGGCTTAGTAGAAGCCAGCTGACTTCCTTTATCTGCATCCGGCCACAGCGTACGTGACATCACTGGCAGGTAGCCTCCGGAAAACCCTGTCTTAGCGTTATTATGAAAATACTTTTGACCTCCATGGGTATAAGGGCACGCCTGCCCAAAATCCTGATGGAAAAATGGGGAAGGGATTGTGGTGTTACTACACCCCAGTGAGGGGGGGTTGGGGTGCTTTCTCCCTCTCCCCACCTGTCTCTCTGATGGACACGCAAACCTCTTGGCAATTAAAAAAAAAAAAGGCAAAGGAAATAGCTTTGACCTCATGGGCTCTGCGAGGTTCCTCATCCATATTGTGAACTCTGCTGGGTTAGAGGTATATTAGCATTTGTTAGTACTGTCTGAGCAATTATTCTGGGCTGCACGCTATGCCAAGTGGCCTACGTGTATGGACATGTTTATATGATGTATTCTAATTGTAACATGTAGCATTATGTATTATTTCTGATTTTAAGGTCATGATGTTATAATAATAATATAATCATATTATGGTTCTCATTTTACAGAGAGCAATCAGAAGCACAGAGAGGTCCAGTGACCTGTTTAAGATCACACAGCCCCTGAGTAGTAGAGTTCTGAACCCAGGCAATCTAGTCCTAGACCCAAGAGCTTTAACCAGTAGGCTGTGACGTCACAAACTGCTTTCAGGAACTTCCTGGTGTTAAAAGAGAGACAGAGAGAGGGAAGGAAGGAAGGAAGGAAGGAAGGAAGGAAGGAAGGAAGGGAAAAGAAAAGAAAAGAGAAAAAGAAAGAAAGAAAACGAAAAAGAAAGAAACAGAATTGTTATTAAAGGGCAGAGGAGAGATGACCAAAAAACTCATATGCTTCTCTCTGTCAAATTAAAAATAAATGAATGAATAAATTAAAAAAATTTTTTAAAAAGGGACCAGCAGCTGGCATGGTGGTTAAGGTGCTGGACATTCCCACATGGCTGACCAAGTCCTGGACCTGGTGGCTTGATTTCTCACTTGCCCTCTTACTCTCTCCCTCTCTGTGTCTCTCTCTGTCAAATTAAAAATAAATGAATGAATAAATTTAAAAAATTAAAAAAAAAAAAACTCATATGCAACTGCTCATTCTGGGTGCTCTGCTTATCTGAGTGCCTCAGTGGCTCTGGAAGACCTGGGCAGCAGAAATAACCCTCCCCCAGTGTATGCACCCCGCGCAGGGCACGGGGCGCGGGGCGCGGTGCTCGGTGGGTGTTCACAGCGACGTGCGACTGAATGGACAGGACTGCAGCCCAGGCATTTAGTGGCAGGTAATGAGGCACACGCCTACACTGTGTCCGCCAAGGATCTGGATACCACCTGCCACCGGAGCGCAGCCAGGGAAGCGAACCCAGTCAGCATGTAAAGCAGGGCTTCAGCTCGAGCTCTCCGAGCCTCAGTTTCAACCTGAGTATTGAAGTTGTGAAAGGGTCTTTGTGAGGATTACAGATCATGAGGGTAAGTGGTGCCTGACGGTGCCCAGTAAACGTCTCATTTGAATTCCTAGAAGTCGACACGCAGTTTTCTCCCCAGCTTCTAGCCCAGCCGGTGATGTCCTTTCTAGTTTGTAATTCGATAAGGAAATCTATGTGGAAGTGTGGACATTCTAGCTCTAGACAAAGCTGGTTGCTGTTCTGGCGCTCACATTCCAGGGCTTGGGAAGCCGTCATTGTTTAGTATCTATTAGGCCCCGCCCTCTTCCTCTTCCTTCCCACTCCTCCCTTTCCCTCATCCAGGGAAGGCAGCGGTTTCCTCGATTTAAGCTGTTCCAGCCCAGGGAAGTGGTGGGGGCAGGCTCCCGCCCTCCTTTGGTGACTGTCAGCTCCTTTTCTTCTGGGACAGCTTTGGCTGAGTTCTGTCTGTCCCTAGAATACTTGCAAGGAAAAAGAGACTAATTCCCAGCATCTGGATGAATTAAAATAATTACATCTGAATGGCTCTGCTTGTCTTTCCAGCTTAGCATTCAGAGGGAGGATCAAAGGAAAAGGGTGGAGTCTGAGAGGTGGTTTTCACCAGAGCAGGGCTTCCTGCTCGAATGAATACATTCTGCACAAGTAGACAAACCCTCTGTTCACCCGTGGGGATGGTGTGGGTGGAAACAGTGAAGGATTAGAGGATTAGAGTGGATGCCAGCGTGTCACCAACATATTTGATAGGTTATAGGAGGGCCTTGCTCATCTGGAATTTATATGTCAAGAAAGTACCTACAATCAGAATTTTATACAGATAACATCAAGTGGTTCTTTTTCAAAAAAAAAATTATTTATTTAATTCCATTTGTCATCATTATTATTATTTAATTTGACCTGAGAGAGAGAGAGAGAGAAAGGGAAAGTGAGAAAGCAAGCCGCCAGGTCCAGGACTCAAACTGCAGTCAGCCATGTGGGAATCCAGCACCTTTAACCACCACGCCACCTGCTGGCCCCTATACTATTGAGTGGTTCTTGATGTCGACATTAGGGTTAGGCTCCTGAAGGGCCTTCTGAATAACGAAGATGTAGCTATGCCTAACCCTTAAACTTGCTACTAAGAGTAATACTGACCTGGGCACCCCTCTAACACAGTGGTTAAGTGCAGTGTATTGGGAGGTCGATCCCACATGGCCGTCT